TGCGAGGACTTCTGTCTGAAGCAAATTGGCCTAAAAATGGACAGAGCTAACAGTAGAAGAACACTGGAGAGTGGTAAAGGAGATCATTCACCAGGAGGTCTCAGACACTGTTCCTTTAGTCACACCAAAAGCTAGGAAGCAACGCTCATGGCTAAAACAGGGGACACAACGCCTTCTGCAGGTGAAGCGAAAAGGCCTGGTTTGCGTGGCGACGATCGAAGTCAACCCGAAAATAAAGTGTACCTTGAACTCAGGAATCGATGTAACATACGAGTCCGGAGTGATAGGAAGACATTTCAGGGAAACCTCGCCAATAAGCTTCTCGTGAACCCCAAAGGCCTATACAGGTTTATGTCTGAAAGAAAACCGACCAACCAGGGAGCGTGCAATCTAGTGGGTTCTGATGGGAAATCTCTTACTAGTCTTGAAATGGCAGAGACATTCAGCCTAGCCTTTCACAGGCAACTAAACAGTAACGAGGATATTACCCCCACAGAACATCAAGATTACAATGTAAAACCAACGCGCGAAAACCTGCTGGGTACATTTCAAACTACCCCGGCTATGGTACTTGTAAAACTGGGAAAGTTGACTTCTGGAAAGTCTTCAGGTTGTGGTGACATCAGACTATCCGTCCTGAAGCAGTATTCAGAAAGTGTCTGCCAACTCCTAAGTGATCTGTTTCAACACTCCTTTGGTGTAGGGAGACTTCCATGTGAATGGAAACGAGCCATCCTATCCCCTATCTTCAAGGGTGGTGACCGGCAGAATGCCACCAGTTACAGACCAGTTGCTCTACTTCCAGTGATATCTAAGATATTGGAAAGTCTCATTGACGACCACATGAAAAAATACTTCGACGGGACTAACCTACTCCATGAAGCACAACACAGTTTCAGGAGGGGAAGATCCTGCGTGATCTTCTACTAGCTTGGAACGATTGGACACTATCCTGGGATGAAAAGGTACCAGTCCATGTGATCTTTCTCGACTTTGCGAAAGCATTCGACACAGTTCACCATGGTCTGCTCCTTCACAAAATAAGCAAGGCGGGTGTTTCTGGAGCACTTCTCGTATCGCTGAAAGATTACTTAGGCGAGAGAGAATTCTGCACCAAAGTCAACCGCATCTGATCATCCTGGCACACCTTGGCATCAGGGGTCCCTCAGGGTTCTATCCTAGGGCCGTTGATGTTTTTGATTTTTATCAACGACCTGCCTTCTCAACTGAACTGCTCTGTGCTCTGCAACTTCATTCCGGCAGGTCACAGAGTGTAAATTACACCCTTGGTGGCCAGAACTTGAGTTGTGTTCCGTCAGAGCGCGATCTAGGTCTTATTCCAACAGAAAAGCTAGACACCAGTGGAAATAACAGGAGGGACGTCGCCAAAGCCTACGCAACTTTACACTTTATGCATAAGCAGCTGGGAGCTCTTACTCCCGAACTGTTCTTAAGGTTATATAAGACACATGTGAGGCCACACCTTGAGGTGCATAATATCATTGCTCCTCCGCTACCCAAAAGGGATGCTAACATTCTAGAAAGTGTCCAGAGACGAGCGACAAAATGGGTGATCGGCCTCCACAACAAATCATACGAAGAAAGACTAAAGAAATTAGGTCTCTTCACACTTAGTTACCGTAGGCGCAGGGGAGACCTCATCACCGTCTACAAGATCTTAAATGACCAGGCCCACCCAAATAAAAGCATCCTGCCATTAAGTGATTATAGGCTTCCACGAGGTAACCCGCTAAGGATAGCACACCAGAGACCAAAGACTCGAGTGCGTTCACACTTCTTTTCGCTTCGAGTTTGCCGTCTCTGAAACGCTTTACCGGCGGCCGTGACTACAGCGCCATCTGTGGAGATTTTTAAGCGGAAGCTGGACAATCATGCAGAAATGCGAGGTTTGTGTCTCAATGGCTTATCCTTATAAAACTTAAAACCACACTGTCAGTGGATAAGCATACAAACTAAATCCCCACGACCTGTTCTGCCTTCTCTCACTGTACCGACTACTCTATCTTTTCCTTAGGTCACCTTTATTATTTCACTTATCTCGACCTATATTATCTACACTACAACCTATTATTATTATTACTATTCTGCTTTTATGACTACACCGGATGACCAACGGGAGTTAGGTCAAACTCCATTCACGGCAGCAACACAGTCCTAACATACTGCATACCACAGACCACATTTTAACCAATCCCCGCACCACTCCTCTTGGAGTCTACCAGAGCTAAAGCAGTCGAGTAGCGGGACTTACTACGCAGAAGTTCACCGAAGATCTGGAACCTCTACCTTACAATCAAGAAGCGAGCTCAAAGAAATCACTGGTTTATACTAGCTCGTAATCAGGATATTGGATATTGGATCTCTTCATTGTTTATCTTTGAAACCTGGAAACTGCTGTAAAATGATTCAGGGTCCGTCATCATATAATACGTAGGTTGAAGTTAGGTTCTTCCGTACGGTGTTCAGCTAACGGGATTTGTTTATTTGTTGTCTTAGTTAACGCTTTCTCGGGGACTTCTGGCATCTAGTCTGCGCTTAAAGTTCTGAGACAGACTTTCTACAATACTGTCCCAGACTCAGCAGATTAGTTGACTGCACATCGTTTGGCTGCTAGCCTCTATGTCGGTGTACCAGCTGTTTTCGATCGAACACCGTTTTTACTAGGATGTTTCGTGGCACACTGGGAAATAATGAACATCTGTCTTCAATATATGTATATATATGCGCTGAATATTTAAATTTTATTATAGTAAATTCCGTGGTGCATGAGCCACAAGTGAATGTTGATATAGAATATCGGTTTTCAACTCAAGTAACTGACTGTTAGGATAGTCCATCAAAACAAGCAGCCATTAGATCACCGCCATTATCCACTTGATAAGAAATTCAACAAATGAACGTCTTTTCAGGAGATAAATAATAACACAGAGTCCATATTACAGTCTGCATCTACTTCAATCGTTACAGGTTTATCATCAGTGTCTGTAAGTATGGTATGTGCTTTGTGCCATCTAAGTGCAAAGTACTGTTACAAGATTGGCAGGAGCCTGTACCTGCACTCACTCTTGCGGGTGAACCGCTTGAAGTTGTTGATAAGTTTGTGTACCTGTGTAGTTGTGTCAGTGCCGGCGGAGAGGTGACGGATGAGATTTCCAACCGTATAATGAGCCACCTCTGGCGCCGTCGCGACGTTAACCTGGCTGTCAAAGGTCGGGTATACAATGCTTCGGTGTGGGCCGCCCTGCTGTATGCCTGTGAAACCTGGCCTCTCGGAGTAGGCTGAGGATGTTCGGCGACTGTGCGTGTTCGATCACCGCTGTCTCCGCAGGATTGCTTGCGTTCGATGGCATCATCGCTTGAGTAATTCTGAGGTTCGGCGACGTGTGTTTGAACACAGTGGAGATCACCATTCGTTGACTGTCGTCATCTGTAAACACCGGCTCCGGTGGCTTGGACATGTGCTCCGAATTTCACCCCAGAGGCTTCCGTACCGGTCTCTGTTCGCTAGCCCTGGGACGGGATGGAAAAGGCGGAGAGGTGATCAGTCCATGACGTGGCGTCGTGGGATGAAGGATTTTTGTGCTAGATTAGCATCGGTTGGTGTGTCACGACTCCCTGGTTGGGGTCCGAGACATAGCTCAAATCGATGGCTCGAAACGTTATCGGATATGGCCAAGAATCGTAATCAATGGCGAACGTGTTGCAATTTTCTGTTTTCTTCCCTTCCTGATGATAGTTAACGAATACTGTTTGAACTTGTTAAGCGTGACTGTCTTCCTTCCAGATGAAGTTCTTTATCCGTTCTCTACTTAAATTTTTCTTACTTTTGATCTATGTTGTTTTATTATTATTGTGTGGCGCATCCTTCTTGGTGCCATATTGTACCAAGTTTTTATGCGTTCAAATAAAATAATAAATAAATACATCCTTGTGGTGGATGGATAACTGCTGCACTTTACTAAAGATCTTTGGAAACTTTGAAATATATATATATATATATATATATATATATATATATATATATCTGTGCCTTGATGTTCGCTTCCAAATAAATCATGTGGCATATAAGTTGTTTGTATTCTTATGTTCCCAGCAAATGGTTTTTACCTCTGAGTTAGGTGGCTTTATACCAATGAGTCTTTATGATTCTTTATTTTGGACCAAACAAAAAGTAAATACATTCTCATATTATTATTAATTATGATTATTATTAGTGAAACTATTCTAGGTCATGAACACAAAAATGTTGACAGAATTCACTTAATTTGTCAATATCTAAACCATTTGGTCTACTATCATCGATATACTCCTTTTGGTTTGCAAATATTTTGTGTCTCCGATTGGTTGATCTCATTAGTTTCAGGTCTTTGGTTGACAGTATCGCTTTCTGTATACTTGTAAATTTGAGCATCTGTATTTGATTTTTTGCAGCGCCTCAGATCATCATAGTGGTTGTTCACTGTGACTACTACTTCTTTTTATGTAATCTTCCTTAAAATATTGGATAGTTTTCTGTAAAATGCATCTTAGGACCAGTCTAGACTTTAGTTAAAAAGTGTTGCTGGCAACCTAAAGTAACCAGCATTCTGTGATCGTTTCCATCTTATTCTCACTGAGCTGCTAAGATGAATCATTTTACTCGTTTCAACCCCTCAAACTAGGTCAGTAACTTGAAAACTGGAAGTTTTGTTGCTACGTATGAGAGCTTGGAAAGCATTATACATGCCACTGCATTGGATTTGTGTTGCGTTTAAACAACACAAACTCTACGGTTGATTTGTAATGGATTTTTTTGTATTTCTGTTTGTTGTCGTTGGCGTCGCATTACAAGCATTGTGCTTATTTTCAGTCTTATTCAGTGCTTAAATAATTGTTTTTATAAAAAAAATTGTTGTTAATCGATGTTTCCAGATTTGAATTACAGTTCCATTCAACGTGGTGATAAAGTATCTGAAGCATACACTGCTTCTTGAAGTTCTATGAATCAAGGTTCTCTCACACAAGATTCAACTGATGAAGAGTATGAAACAAGTATTTCCGTGAATATATTGGAAACAGAAGTACATCCTCTCCAACAGTTGTGTTCGAGGATTAAATTTTCTTTACCACCGTCAAACGAATATGTTACAGCATCTGACACATATATACATAAACTACCTTTTGATATACTTATAGAAATTTTCAAATATTTGCCAGCCTCTGACTTGCTGCGCAATATTCCAGCTGTTTGTCAATTGTGGTACAATGCATCTCATGTTCCTACTCTTCGAACCAGCTTGAGTTTGCGTAGTCAAATACCATCGGAATTAATCCTCAGAGCTATTTTAAGTAGACCAATGCTTCGAGTTTTGCGTTGCTTGGCGCTTCAACATGCTGAATATGTACTAGCAGATGCTATTAAATTTTGTCGTATGCTCACATGTCTTGATATAGGATTTACTGCTTTAAGTGAACGGGAAACAGTTATCCTGGCACAGAATCTCCCACCAACATTACTTCATCTAAATGTTGAAGGATTGCGTACAATTGAGGTAATCAATGTCAATTAATTTAATTTAATTGTTTGAAGTCTTTTAACTAAGTTTTTTTAATAAGGTTAGGGGTCTGAAAGCAGTTTAAGCAAGAAACATATTTTTTCAAATATCTGAATATCAAACACTAATAAAGTAGTGGTATTGTCCTTAAGTATTACATTTAACTCCACTAGTCATCATATTTTTCTGCATATATACATGTATGTATATAATGTGGGGGCATTATTCTGGGCAGCACGTTTGTTATGCTACAAAATATTTACTTCTTATGAAGTGTCCTAAGGTAAGCAAATTATCCATTTAAAAATGCCATCACAATTTTACTTGAGTAAGCGAAATGGACTCCACTCACTCACTCACTATGTGGAACCAAGTACCCAAATAGCCTGCCCGTGTCTTGTATTGTCCGATCTAAATTCGGTTATTACAGGTATTCTAGTGATACCATCGTTGTGTATGTGTGTGTTTATATGTACCTTGAATTAAAGCTGTCAGGGACTTTGGACTGATCCCATGCCAGCAGGCATTCTAGGCGCAGACTTTAAATTCCAAAATCAGTGTGTGAAACAGTTTTAATGGTGATATAGTTGACGAAAGTTTTCGTATGAAATAAATACAGATAGGTGTCAGTATATGGACAGAAATGGCTTTTATCTTGTAAAACTATTTTAAAGTTACGATTGAATAGGAAAATTGCTTTCCGAGAATAACATGACAGATTGCCTTAATGTAAAGATAGAATTAGATCCCTTCTCGTAAAATAGAATTCCGCACTAGGCATGTTTATTTTGATATCACCCAGTGATATAGTGATAATGACTAGATTGATTAAATGATTATTAGTACGTATCACTTATCGAATACAGAATATTATTTGCTCATTAGAACCTTTCTTATCGAGGGAAAATAATCTGAGAAGTTTATTTAAAAGTAGAGAAGCGAATATAGAAAATTTAACAAATGTTAATATTGATGAAAACTGTACTCCGTTTGTCTGCTATTTAAAAGTCATGTGCATTTTTAAAACAAAAAAAACAAACAAACTATAAGTACACAAAAACTCAATGAAAATGAGTTTTGGAGTGGTGAAGAAAACGACTTGTAGCTCAGGTAGATATTTTTGATGTAGGTTGAGTTCTATAAGTGTTATAAGATTGGATTGTGATGTTTTCACTGTCCTTCTACACAATGTCTGCAACTTGAACTTTTATGTAAAGAAATCTTTGGCAACTATATATATGTTAGCTTGACTAATATAGTATCTAAAGTCCTAGGCTCAATAATCATGCGTAGACTAAGTGGTGCTCGGGAGGCACAAACACGAGAGAGCCAGGCAGGCTTTAGACCAGGAAGAGGGTGTATTGATCATATCTTCGCCCTCCGACAGATTCTATAACATAGGAATTCCTACCGGCGTCCAACAATCACTATATTCGTTGACCTAAAGGCGGCATTCGATTCTGTCGACCGAGAGGTTCTCTGGCGATGCTTGGCTGTAAAGGGAATTCCGAGAAAATACATTGCACTGATTAAGGCACTCTACTCGTACTCATGCAGCCAGGTGAGGGCTTACGCTTAGTTGTCATCTGAATTGGTGACGACTAGTGGTGTCCGTCAGGATGCTTATTATCCCCTTTTCTATTCAATTTCATCATAGATGTACTAATGGACTTAACCCTAAATGACTTCAGCAACTCAGGGATTGACTTGCTACCAGGGAATAATCTCGTTGACTTGGAATATGCAGACGATATAGTCCTTCTAGGCGAAGACGCTGACAAAATGCAGAGTCTTCTAAACACCTTGAGCTGCAATCTACGAATGTTTGGCATGCGATTCGCTCCCGCCAAATGCGAGATGATGTTACAGGACTGGACTACATCGACGCCTAGTTTAAAAAAAAGGAAGTGAAGTGGTAGAGCACGTTGACCGCTTCACTTATTTGGGAAGTACCATCAGCCCCAAAGGGTTGATCCCTGACGAAATCTCAGCACGAATACAGTGGGCTCGTTTCGCATTTGCCAGTTTACGCCGACTCTGGTGTAGACGAGATGTTCGACTATCGACCAAAGGGTGGGTGTACTGCTCATCAGTCCGCTCCGTCCTCCTTTATGGTTGTGAGATCTGGCCACTCAGAGTGGAAGACATGAAAAGACTAGCTGTCTTTGATCATAGGTGCCTGCGTTCTATCTCCTGTGTGAAGTGGTATAATAAGGTGAGCAATATTGAGGTTAGGCGTCGAGTGGTAAGTAAACGGGTGAAATCAATCGACGAAGTAGTGAAGCTACAAAGACTGAGATGGTTAAGACATGTGTTACGTACGCCTAGTCATCGCCTTCCTCGATGACGATCAATTTTAGCGGCGGTCAAACAAAAACCTGGCACCAGTCAATGAAATCTACAAGAGTTAGTCTAAGCCATGTAGGAACGTGTAGACTTCCTGGTTGGGGTCCTCGGGAAGGTAAAAACAAATGGTTGGAAACAATTGGTGACATGGCTCAAAATCGTTCTCAGTGGCGCAGATGCATCCACTCCCTGTGACTCATGATTTCCAATTAAACTATGTTGTTCTTCGTTTTTACTATTCCTTTGTCTCACACCTCTGTTTGCTGTCTCTATTATGCCTTTTTTGTACTTTATTCTCTTACTTTGTGTGGTACATGGAGTGTGGCGACTTGAACTGCCGCATGTATGTGCAAAGTTCTATGTCGAAAACAGACAGACAGACAGAATTATATATATGAATTGAATATCTATGCATGTGTTCACTTGTAATGATATTCAGCCTATCGTTTTTGCATTGCAACGTGTACAGCAGAGCATACTTATTCAATAAAACAGATATCTTTTCTGACTCACTTTCATTTGTATTTATTTAGTTATATGTGCTGATAGTAGTAATAATAATGGCACCATAAACGATGTAGTACGGCTGAGTGTGTGCTATCATTTAGCCATACGTTCATAGCCTCTGTCAGGCAAGTCCTCTGCCTTCACATGACGCGAGTGTTGCTCAAAAAAAGTGAAAGGACAAATGAGGATGTCTGGCACTTACAACCAGACTCGTGAACATGCATGTAAAGGAGCAGCAGAATCTGACCCGACCGAAAGCTGCTACCTTGACGTGGTGGTCGGGCTTGAACACCGCAATGACCTAATCAAGCTATACTGGCTGAGACTTATGTCTCTTGAGGTTCTACCATGCCAGGCAGGTTGTTTGGATAGCGGTTAAACAAAAAGCAGCTACCTCATCCAATACCATGATCCAAACAAATTCACAAAATTTCATGCCGGATCGGCCGTGGCCCGGATTAACAACGACCGCGCTTCCTGCTGCCGTGTCACAGGGCGGGAGTGATAAGTATGCTACTGAGGCACACAAAACAACGAAGAACGAACAAAAACAGGCCGCGTGTGACCGGCCACAAGCAGTTGTCCCCTGGGCTCTGCGGTCACGCAACCAACTTCCACGGTGTGGGCAGCCGGGAAGTAACAATCGCCCTCACAATCCAAAACGCACTCAAAACCTCTCTAATCCTCACTTATCTTTGTCTTCATCTTCATCTCTATTACCTTACCTTCCCCCCAGTGATGCAACTCCTCTACTTGATGGCTCCTCACTCCCTCTTCACTCTGTGTCCACTAAAAACGACGAAAGCCAAAAAACCACCACGGATAGTCTCCTAAAGCCACGCCACCAATTTCATATAGGAGCATTTAATGTAAGGACACTTTGCCAAATAGGACAACAAGCATCACTAGCTAAGACCCTGGCATCTCGAGCCATTGATGTATGTTGTGTTTCAGAAACACGCATACAAGACCCAAGTGTGGTTATTCACCTAACCCCACCTGGCCAACAGGATGAATCTTCAAAATTCACCTTGAGGGTGTCAGGAGATGCCACAGCTAGTTCACGGGGATTAGCTGGCGTAGGGATAGCTCTGAGTACTAGGGCAGAAAAGACATTGCTTGACTGGATCCCAGTAGATAGCCGAATGTGTGCTGTCCGTCTGAACGGATCAGTAAGAAGGAGAAAGGACTGCACTACTCGCCGATGCCTTTTCGTAATCTCCGCCTACGCCCCCACTGACTGCAGTTCGGATGAAACGAAGGATGAGTTCTACCAAAAGCTGTCTAGTTTGGTGAGAAAGGCTAAACGCTCAGATATAGTCGTTCTAGCTGGTGACTTCAACGCTCAAGTAGGGAAATTGTGTCAATCTGAGAAGGATGTCGGTGGCACCTATGGAGTTCCGTACCAGCGAACCGACAACGGTGACCGTCTCCTACAGTTCTGTTCAGATAATCATTTGTTTCTTGTAAGCACTAACTTTAAACACAAGGAGAGACACTGTTTAACCTGGCGACCCCCATCATCAAACCAACGCTGGACACAAATAGACCACATAGCAATAAGCTATCGTTGGCGTGGGTCGGTAGGAGATTGTCGCTCCTTCTGGAACACGTGTGTAGATACCGATCACGCACTGGTCCGGGCTCGTGTGTGCTTACGACTGAACGGACGTAGGAAACAGCTGGCGGTAAAACCATTACGCCCCCAGCTCGATCAGGAAACTAAATCCCTATTTGAGGAAGAACTAGCTAAACGCATATCTGAATCCGACAGCTGTGCTCACCCTGGAGAAGCCTGGAAGAATATTCAGTCAGCTATAGATACAGCTGTAAAAGCTGTGAATAAGACAAATCCAAAGGTGAGTAAAAACCACTGGATTTCGACTGCCTCATCCGAACTGATAGATGCTAGAAGACTTATTCCGGCGAGCTCCGAATTCAATGAGGAGCGAAAGCTGCACAAAAGGAAACTTACTAAAAGTCTCCGCAAAGACCGTGAACAGTGGTGGGTGACAAAGGCGAAAGAGATGGAAAAAGCATTGGCGATAGGCAACACTAGGCAACTCTTTAGACTCATCACAGAATCGGGCGGGAAAAGGCAATTCATAAGTGAGACTATTTCTGAGAAAAATGGCTCCTTAATTAGCTCTCAGGATAGACGCCTTGAACGCTGGAAAGAACACTTTGAGGAACAATTTAACTTGCCTACAGCCACACTGAACCTCCCCGCCATCCACCACGTACCCGAATGGGATATAGACACTGGTCCGCCGTCTGTAGGTGAGGTTACAAAAGCTATCAGTAATTTGAAACGAGGCAAAGCGGCAGGACCCGACGGAATTATTCCGGAGGTGTTTAAATATGGGGGTGACATACTAGTTTGTAGATTAACTGAGGTACTAGGCAAAGTCTGGGAATCAGAGACAGTGCCATCAGACTGGGGTAAGTCACTTATTATACCGATATTCAAGAAGGGAAACAAGTCCTCGTGTGATAATCATAGGGGGATCAGCCTAACGAACATAGTCTCTAAAATCCTAGGCTCAGTAATCATGCATAGACTAAGCAGAACTCGGGAGGAACAGACAAGGGAAAATCAAGCAGGCTTTAGACCAGGTAGAGGGTGCATAGATCATATCTTCACTCTTCGACAGATTCTAGAACATAGACACACCTTTCGGCGTCCAACAATTGTCATATTTCTTGACTTGAAGGCGGCCTTCGACTCCGTGGACCGAAAAGTACTATGGCAATGTCTGACTGTGAAGGGAGTGCCAAGAAAGTACATCGCACTAATCAAGGCACTCTATTCAAACTCACGTAGTCGTGTAAGGGCTTATGGGGAATTGTCATCTGAATTAGTAACAACCAGTGGTGTCCGACAGGGATGTCCACTTTCCCCATTTCTGTTTAACTTCATCATAGATATGCTAATGGAAGTATCCTTAACTGAACGTAACGACTTAGGAATCGACTTGTTACCAGGGAATAATCTAATGGACTTAGAATATGCAGATGACATAGTCCTGTTAGGGGAGGATGCTGACAAAATGCAGAGTCTTCTGAACACCTTGAGCAGCAATCTTCGTATGTTTGGCATGCGATTCGCCCCTACAAAATGTAAGATGCTGCTACAGGACTGGACGACGTCAACCCCTAACTTAGTGATAGGGAGTGAAGTGATAGAACATGTTGACCACTTCACCTACTTGGGAAGTTGTATTAGCACCAACGGACTGATTGGCGATGAAATCTCAGCACGGATCCGAAAAGCTCGAGCTGCTTTCGCTGACTTACACCATCTCTGGCGTAGGCGTGACATCCGGTTATCAACCAAGGGACGTGTGTACTGCTCATCAGTTCGCTCCGTCCTTCTCTATGGCTCTGAAACATGGCCAATACGCGTTGAAGACATGAAAAGGTTGACTGCTTTCGATCATAGATGTCTGCGATCTCTGTCTCACGTTAGGTGGTTTCACAAGATAAGTAATGTTGACGTTAGGCGTAGAGTGTTGGGCAAAGAGGGAAAATCAATCGACGAGGCTATAAAGTTACATAGACTAAGATGGCTAGGTCACGTGGTGCGCATGCCTAACCACCGCCTCCCCCGACGGGCATTGTTAGCTGATATAGGTTCAGGTTGGAAAAGAGCCAGTGGTGGCCAAACAAAAACATGGCATCAATCCATGAAATCCTTGACAGTTAAACTGAGTCAGGTAGGGAGATGCAGACTCCCGGGTTGGGGCCCTCGGGACTCTAGGAATCAATGGCTGGAGACAATAGGTGACATGGCTCAAAATCGTTGTCAATGGCGCAGATGTATTCAATCTCTGTAATCTTTCATATTCCTTTCTACCATTACCCATTCTGTTTCACTCCTATATTTGTCAAACTCTATTAATTCTCTCCACTCATCTTCTTGTCTACCTCTGTGTGCTATTTGGAACGTGGCAACTCGAACTGCTGCACTCCGGTGCCAAGTTCTATGTTGAATCCAGACAGACAGACAGCAGAATCTGAAAGAATCGAATAGTATGTGAGTCTAGTTTGTTAATTTGTGGCATATACATTCACTATCTGTATATGAAACTGTAGACAACTGCTGTGATTTGCTTTATCATATGATTCATTTTAGAATGGGGTTTTTTTATAAAAAATTTTCTTAACATACCAATGATGACAGTTTTACCTGCTTTGTATAGTACTCTTTTCTATTCCAGTGCTATTTATTATGTTCTTCTTTCTTTTTTTAGATCAATTTCATCTCGACTCTAGTATTGAAATGTCCAAAACTAGAAGCACTCAATCTGTCACATTGTGTTTCTGTCTGTGATTCATGCATTAAAATTATCTCAGAACAATTACACAATCTATGTCGTCTTAATTTGGATGGTGTACAATGGATTACAAATACAGGAATTTTATATCTAACTGACAGTGAAGCTATTCACACTGGTAAACTTACGGATATATGGCTTGATGGTTTTGAACTTTCAAATTCTGGATTAAATGAATTTATTATTCGATTGGGAAATACTACACAACGCTTATTAGATTTTATAAATACTCTCTATCCTGAATGTGATTATCATCGTTTTCTAGGGATTCAACAATTATGGATTAGTTTTTGTGATAATATTGAGGATACAACAATCATGTCTATAGCGAATCTTTCAAATCTTACCTCACTTACCCTAAGAAATACACAACAAGTTACGCCCAACGCTTTAAGTTCATTATTTGTCTGTCAAACTGCTAATAATTTAAATCGAAAATTTATTTTAAAATATCTTGAATATTTAGATTTAAGTGAAGCACCAGGTGTAAATGATACTGTAGTGCTAGACATGTGTAGTTGTTGTGGTAATCGCCTACATACACTTATTTTAAACTGGTGTTGGGAGATTACTGATATTGGCATTAATGAAATAATTCATGTGTGCTGTTGTCTACATCAATTAAGTCTTATCGGGAATTCTACTATACACGGGACAGCTCTATCTGATATTCCAGTGAAAGTGCCAAATTTAGTAATATTAAATTTAATTAAATGTGGTCGTATTTCAGATAATATCCTAGAGACACTTGCATTTAAAATGCCTAATTTATATGTTTTTGATTATTTTGGTGAACGTGTTGGTGGAGGATTGAATGATGTCTGTCATTATGATTCGTCTAGCGTGCTGGTTAAAGTACCGATATGCAGTTGTTCTCTATAAAAGTTATGAAGTCATTTAGATTTTGTTTTCAGCATTTAGGCAATGGGTCAAGAAGAGGGGGGGCTCGAACCCTGCTCCGTCTACTTCACTCAGGGCAACTAGATATATGTGTGTGTGAGCCATGTAGTGAGGTAGTTGTTGAAAAATCTCTTCCAAATAACTGAATTCATACTATTAATGGTCATGATTTATGCGAGCTATCCCTGATGCTAAAGGTGAATGAAAAGTGCTCAGAAGGATTTTGATTTTTCTGGTTAATTGTTTGTGTATTTGTTATTTTTTCCCCTTTAAGTGTATTTTTTTATTTAGTTTTGAAATTTTCTCTCTCTATTCCACTTCTTTTCTCTGATGTTTGGTGATTTTTGTTGTTGTTGTTTTTGGTTGTTCTGTATTCGAAATCTTCCATAAACACGAGGTATATTTCAGTTTTGTATACATTAAATTATGCATAATATTTATTTATTTAATTTTTATCTAGTTAAGGAAAGAAGAATATTGTCTTGATAGTTATAAAGTTTATTTTTCTAAAAAAATTATCTTTTAAAAATTATTGCCTAACAGTGACACGGTAGACGTGCGTGTTTCATTCTTCTCCTGGGACGTATATCTGTCTGCATTTTATTTGATGAACTGTTTCTGTTAGCATTCCACTTGACTATATATCTCTTCAAACACTTGCCTTAATCGATTACTGTGTTTGCAGTTAGTGACTGAATTATTATGAATAATGTCTCACTAATAATTCCATTTACACGTAGAAACAAAGGTAATTTTGTTTCCATAGGAAATGCGTTTAGTGCTCACAAATATGGAGTTTGCTCTTAAAACTCCTTTTAATTATATAAAATCGAAAGAAAAATATTTCATGAACATTTTTTTTCCTTCACGTTCCCCAGTGGAACATAGGGCCTCAAGCTAGTGGCTTGAAGTTTCTTCAGCAGTGTTTATTTTACAGGATGGGGTAGCTAGCCTCATGCCCAACCTTTCCTCTTTACCAGCATTATATCTGGCTCAGCGAGGTAAAGGAGTGCGTCGGCCGGGGATCGAACCCCGGAACATGTGCATGGTTGGCGAGCGTCCTAACCGCTATACCACCGACGCATGAACATTGGAAGTAATTTATACCTGAAGTGTTTTAGGTTACAGGACACAGTGATTTGTGTTATGTAATGAAGAGTTCAGACTGCAAGTATCTCCTGGCAACGTTTTTTCTTTCCAAACTTTGGTTTCTTCTGACAAAGTTCCCCCTATAAAACTACACGTAAAGATGTGGTTTATTGGAATATGTTCTCTACTTCTGATCAATGGGTCACTAGTTTGAAGCCTGCTTCACCTCTCAGCTATTATTATTATTATTATGTTTTACGAGTTGGTCACGGATTGGTATCAGTTAGAGAGCCATTGAAGACAAGGGAGTACTGTCATACAGCTGTCTCATGGTGGTTTGGGAATCATCGGCAGTACGCACCCACTGCCAGCGTTCGAGACCACGACCTTCCAGTTACAAGGCATTCTGGTTCGTATACCATTCAGCCATTGGGACCCGATCCAATGGCCAGTGCATGAATTCTAACTTCTACCAATTCGTGATTTAACGCGACCACCAACCAATGTAAATGGCGATTATTTCTCCTCATTTCCAACCGGATGAATGCCATTGGTCACGACTTCTCACTAGAACTCTAGGAATCTCCGTCCTATAGCAAGTCACTAGGGAGCATCAGATTAATTTTCTATAGTTGGTTCTCTAACTGATATCAATCCGTGATCAACTTGTAAAAACAAGTCTAATTCCTACAAACCAACTCTTGAAAATTAATCCGATGCTCCCTAGTGACTTGCTACAGGACAGAGTTTCCTGGAGTTCTAGTGAGAACTCATGACCAGTTAGATCCAACCAGTCAAGTGTGTGGATGTATGTCCCACCGACGCCAATGAATCGGCTCCTAGTGGCTAAATGGTATACGAGCTTGCCTTGTAACCGGAAGGTCCTGGTTTCGAACCATGGCGGTGGGTGCGTGCTCCCGATGATACCCAAACTAGACTAACGAAACAGCTGTGCAGTACTCCGTGGTTTTCAATGGTTCTCTAACTTATATCAATCCATTAAAAAGCAAATCTAATCCTTACAAACCAAATATAGAATATTATTATTGTGTTATTTACTATCGTTTCCGTGGATTTCGAGTGAAAGAAAGTGCTTCAAAAGCACATCTCTACTTTTTCCTATTTTCTGCAGTCCTCTTTAGGTGGCCCCGCGATTGTCCATAGTCTCTCATCTTCTCCTCGCACGATCTCCTTCATACCACCTCTCAGAAGCCCAACTTGTAGTCTTCCATTGGGCTTCTACTCGAGTGCTGGCCTGGCGCGTGACGTCATTCGACCGTCTCCTCAATGTTTACGCAGTCCGCTTCCCATTTTCTTTGGGATAGCTGTTGAGCAACAGGTTCTTGGTTGATTCGTTCCCAGAGTCTCTATTTGCTAATTCTTTCTGATTGGCCATTTGACCTTCAGTATGAATTGAAGGCAACTATTGATAAAATGACTAGTATCACCAGTCCTCACAAACACAGGTGTGGCTCATTGCATTAAATTACAAGGGGTTGTTGGGTAAAATTCCATTCCTTGAGACTATAAATGTTATCATTAGTTCTTCATACACATCATTCCCTTGATAAATTTCGACAAAGTAAGAAAGATGAAATTTAGTGCCACTTAACTATAAAGTAAACTTAGTAATATTTTGATAAACTTTTGTAGGCAACTAAAATGAGCAGCAAGTTGAATTTCGGTTGCAGGTTTAACGATGACCTGATATCGGCGAGAGAAACCACTGAGTACTGGATAGGTGTTTCATCCTAGTGTGTGACTTTTCATCAGTATCCACCCAGTGGGGTTGAAACTGTGGACCTTGCATTTACATGCCAAGGTCGTAGGCCATTCAGCCACTGGGACCCGATTCAATGGACCATGAATTCTAACTTCAACCAATTCACGATATAGCGCAACCGCTAGCCAATGTCTTCGGCGAGTATTTGTCCTCACACTCAACCTGCTGCGCCCTACTGGTCCTGACCTCCCACTGGAACCCCAGGTTATTAAAAAATAACGATAGTGTGATTAATCAAGGAAATTAGAGATCAACAGCACTCAGCATGCAAGATAAGATACGGATTTTCAACTCGAATGTGAAGTCAATGGTAATATACGGATTAGAGACTTGGGGCCGCGCCGAGTCACGAAGGGCACTTCGAACAAGCGCAAAGGCTACATTGGATTTCTGCCATGGAGAACTCCTTTTAAGCTAACCAAGTGTTCCGTGGATAAACGGGTAGATAATGACACTCATTCAGCTAGGAAAAATATCGTGGAACTTTCCTGCACTGATTGGACTCTGGCTAAAGTACTGTTAACCGAACAACCAGTATATCGCCTTGATTTACTGGTATTGGAAAGTATCCTAACGGCAGCTGGCTATTAACTTACGAGTCTGTCGCAAAAGGCTTTACGCGCGTATGGGGAGGAAAACTGGAAAATATTGAACTACCTCTAGTATTCCAAAGGTTGAAGTTCAGTTAAATATGGCTGTTTATAGTTTTTTAAGGCTTCAGACTGTCTAGGTACCTCAACCATGTTTTCTAATAGAGTCATGCTATACGTGGTGTAGATTTTCTAGAACACGGTTTCGTATTTGTAGCTCAACATTTTTAGAATGAAAACAACTAAAATCGCTAATAAATGTCAATAACAGTAACCACTCTGGGTCTAAAGGACTGCAGTCACAAGTAATAACGGAGGCGGTAGAAACCGTAACCATATCGTCGCCAGTGTCTTTCAGCACTTCGCTGAAAGGAAACGGCGACGTTGAGCCAGGTGAAGACGTTGGCAGAGAACCGAATGCAATGAAGACGTGTGACTAAAGCTCTACGTTTCTCTAGGAACTAAAGGAAACGATAATAATATAATAATAATAATAGTTATTTTTGTTTAATATGACAACCCAGATTGGAGTTAAATCCTAACCCTTTTTATTGAATGCACATCATATGCACTGTTGTACTGTACACCTCTCGTACATTTCACTGGAATAATTGTCATATCAAGTTCTTGAAATAAATTAAAAAAACTACTGTTCACCAGAGTACAGCTCGAATAACGTGGTTACGCGTGATTGTAAAAGTGAAAATCAATCACATGACAAACTAAAAGTTTACAGTAGGGAAGTCAAGTTTTCATTTTAAATCGGATGAGTTGTGAAGTACACATTGTTTAAACTACGTCTTTTTGGTGGGATTATCATTTTGAAGTCAGTATTACAAAATCTTCAGTACATATATATTGCGTAATTTCAAAGCAGATCGCTTTTGTTCATATGAAATATAATTTGATTTCAAGAGAAGTACTGGGGACTGTCTCATATTATTGTTATTATTAGATGGTTGGAGGCGATCAGCAGGAAGCCTTAGACCTAGGTTTCGTGCTAGTTGGCACTCACCAGTCAGCAAGGCGTATCTGCAACCTTGAAGGAACTCATCCCCCTTCTGAGATTCTAACCGGCGTCACCCAGTGCTGCAGTCAGAGACGTTACTACTGAGCTATTCGGGCTCACGATTGACCTACTGTAGGACTGTAGTGGATACTTTGATTGAACAATAGTAATTAATGCGATGTGTCTAGTCCTTTCTTCCTACCAATTTCATGCAACCATCTAATATCAAATCAATGTACACTATGATGGTGACCTACCTAGAATGGTGGTCACATTGTAAACCTGACTGATAGAATTCAGTATGCACCGAAGAAAGGTCTAGAAACATCGGAATAGTTACTAGTGTTCAATCAAAGTACTGTTTCCTATTCTTATTCATGCTATTTGAAATGTCGTGATAAAGTTGAAGTCGAGTAGAATATCCATTCGTGAAAACAAAAACATATACGGCAACTCGTTCTAAAGGACTTATGCCATTTTCATGGAGCACTTACTTCTATGAGAATTAAAAAAGAAGGTAATAGTTCAGGAGGGAGTGTATTAATTCAATGTTGTCAGATTACTAGTTACTTATTATGACATTTATACGCATCAACGAAGATAGTCATAAATTTGAATTGACACAGCTATATGTGTCCAAACCAAGTTCACTTTTAACAATTTGAAAAAATTTAGGGATTGGTTTATGGTGTGCAGTATAATAAGGGCATTTTGTATTTCCCAAGGAATGAAAAACAAAACGATATTGTTTTTACTGACTTCTGGCTATTTAATGCTGCTGCTAATAGCTTTATCAAAGTATTATTAAACCAGAATTTACAAAATCCACTCAGTTTATATTTAACTCATTCCTCAGAATCAGGGCATTTTCCGTTGTCAAATCAGTCAATTGGTAAAGATAACAAAACCAGGTGTAGATTGTTGGATTTGATGAGTGTGTAAAATTATAAAAGCAATGTGTGTTTACATAGTGAAATTGCTTATCACTTCCGTGTTGATTTTGTCATTTCATGGGGGAGGGGGTGTTGTAACCTGGTCAAATTCTGTTCTGGTCCATCATTCCTATTCAGACAATTTGGATTCCACTTGATATGAAGTGATTCTGATAAGAGACGTTCTTTGTGATTTCTCAACTGCTTTTTCTGGATGATGATTTCATTATTGTCAAAATCAATTTTGTGACCTGATTCTATAGCGTGTAGACGACCTATGGCTGATGGTTTTTCAAGCTTTTCTAGTTCTACTGGATTTCTCGGTGGTGGTCGAAGAGATGCTCTATGGTGTTCATTTCTTCTGATTTTGATTTCTTGAGATGTTTGTCCAATGTATATCGCATCACATTCGTATCAAGCACTTTATTTTATAGACACAATTAGATAGAGAATTCTTAGGGATTTCGTCTTTTATATGGACAAGGTTGTTTCGCAGTGTGTCTGACGTTTTGAAGAAAACTCTGATGTTGAGCTTATTGAATACTCTTCTGATATCGTCCGATGTCTGCGCTCTATAGGGAATGACAGCTGTTCAGGTCCATGTTTTCGGAATACTTTTTCGACCATATTTAATGTCAGTGTTGATTTTGTTGAAGAAGTTCACTGGGTAGTTATTTTTCTTGAGAGTCTCAGGAATGTTTGATGTTTCCTCTTGTTTTTCTTTCTTATCTGTTATCAGAGTGTGCTCGTCTAAGAAGACGTCAAACAACTGATGAAACCAAAACGCCCATAAAACGAGAGGGATTTAAGCACCATGCAACTAACAAGAAATATCCCTCAGCAAAAAACGAATTAAGGCCTGAAATAAAAATTCCAGTACGAGGAAATGGATTAGTTCACGCAAATCACCCGAACGTTAAGCTATTAGACACTTATTATGTTAAAGAAATTGACTAGCAATTCAAACACAAGTCGAAAACCATTCTGTTAATATTGTCATCCATGTCCACTTCGTTAACGATAGTACTGACTTAGAAAAAGTATGAAAACCAGTAGAATATGCAAAAATGCCTTAACCAGTGAGAAATCAAAGTGGAATTTTACTCAAGAGACGTTCTCTGCTTATCTGGAACTGTCGTCTTGGTTAGCTAAGATACTAGCCAGTGCTTTTGGGGGTTAGAGATAGTTTCATCAAACTGGTGTAAGTCATTGATTATCCGAGGTTATTAGATGGTAGAAAAATCTCCCTACGGCAATCGTAGAGGGATTAGCTTGACTTGCATATTACCTTAAATTATAGGTCTAGTAGTCTTGTGTAAACCGAGAGGTGCTCAGAAGAAAGAAACCCGGTAAAACCAGGTGGGTTTTAGTCCAAAAAGAGGGCGCATTGATCATATCTTCACCCTTCGACAGATTGTGGAACATAGGTATACTTATCGGTGTCCAAAACTTGTCATATTTCCTGGCCCGAAGGGGGCATTCAATCGAAAGATGCTGTGGCAATGTTTATCAGTAAACAGAGTGCCAAACAAGTATACCGCACTAATTAAAGCACTCCACTCGAACTCACACACCGTGTACGAGCTTGCGGAGAGCTTTCATCTGAAGTCAATACAACCAGAATTATGCTGATGTTTGGTTTGCCATATCTCCTTGTCACAAATAAGGTGCTGGTGCGGGATTGGTCTGAACGGACTGTTACTCTGAAGAAAGGAAGTGAAGTGTCTGAGTGTGTCGAAAACTTCACTACACCAACCCCAATAGGCTGATTTCTGATGAGATTTCAGCATGGATACAAAGAAGTCATCTCTAGTGTAGACATGATGTCTAGCAGAGGACATATGCGCCGAGCACCAGTAGTTCCTTGTATTCTGTTTATACCTGTGTGATATGACTACTATCATTGGGAGATATAAAAAGACAAGTTGTCTTTGACCACAGATTTTTGCGTCCTGTCTCTGATGTTGAGCGGTAAAGTATGTTAAATAATACTGAGGTTATGCATCCAGTGGTAAATAAGTTGGGTAAGTGATTCGTTAAGGTTGTTAAAGGTGGATCGATTAAGATGACTAGGACAAATCCTGCTCATTCTGAGCCATCACCTTCCTCAATGAACAATATGTATATATAGGATTGTCTGTTTGTTTTCGACATAGAACTTTGCACAAATGTGCGGAAGTTCAAGTCGCCACACTCCGTGTAGCACGCGAAGCAAGAGAAGAAAGTACAAGAAAAGCATAATAGAAACAGTGAGCAGAGGGGTGAGACAAAGGAGTAATAAAGAAAAACAAAACAGTTTCACTGGAGATCATAAGTCACAAGGAGTGGATGCATCTGCGCTACTGAGAACGATTTTGAGCAATGTCACCAATTGTTTCCAACCATAGATATATATATATATATATAGGATCAGGTTGGAAAAGAGTTAGGGGTGGTCGAAACAAAAGATAATACCAGTACATAAAGTCTTTTACAGCTTGTTTGAGCCAACCGCGTAGGGGGATGTAAACTTTTTATTCGGGGTCATCCAGATAGCTGGGAACTATTGGTATTATGGTTCTAAACTGCTGCACTTCCGTACAAATTTCTATGTTGCAACTTACTCAGTCAGTGACCTAATTTCTACCAAATGCGAATCCGATTGTTTTGCTAGGAAATTTACTAAAAAGGAATATATCCCTGTAAAATTATTGTCTTCATTCAACTAATCAAAATTGACTAGTACACGGATGTTTTAATACTTTCTGAAGTATACGTTATGCTACTTGTAAGTAGCCGAACCTAAATAAGAAAAATATCAAATGGTGAGATATGAAGCTAAAGGGATTTTCTCGAATATGACGATGTTTTCGCACATAGCTGCCCCTGAATGTCTGTTTTAATGCTTGTAGAAGAAACGATTCTCGTTAAAAGTTATATGGCTGGAATTATTATCACTATCAAATTCAACCTCTCAGATCGCCGATATCTAGGTAATCCTTACCGTCATACTATTTCACATATTACTAAGTTTCCGTAGGTCGAACGTCCCAGCCGATGATGTACACAATTAAATCTATGTGATGTAAGAAGGATACGGGGTTTCGCCTACTATAGTGTATATTTCAAAATCAATCCAAGCAGACTAATTATTTTCAAATTACTTACAATGTGGTAGAATGGTAGTGTTAAGAATCTTAGGTATTTGAAGATCAAATATGTGAGTGATGCATCTGCGTTTTATATCCATGAATATGTTATATGTTTATAGAAGAAAATGAGAAGACGTAGAGAATCCGCGCATTTCTCCAATGATTCCTTTCATCAATCATCCAACTTGGAATATGTACTTAAACAAGTGGTACTGTGATATGCTGTTCATATTTTTGCATTGATTTTTGATCCAAGATTGATACAATAAGATTAAAAATTACTACAAAATATCAATGGAAAAGTTGTTGAATTTACGCAATCATTCTGTCTGTGGATACTGATTATGTATCTGAGAGACTCAACTAAGATTACTAAACTAGCTGAGATAATTTACACATTTTTAATTGATATAGACAGGGTAACTAATTTGTTCTACCGCTACTGGTATACCGCTAGCTGACACTAAAATGAAAATTTTCAAGTGCTAACTTGCAGAGATTTGATTGTTTTCAACAGTGGTCACGAACTGAATTCACCTATAGGAACACTAAAATCGCTCAGCAAACCAGTACTTGGAAATTATTCTAGTGCTCAGTAGTGACCGACTCCAGGATGAGGTTATGCTGGCAAATCGTTACCAGTAGGGTTTACCAAGTTGCTTCCGAGGATGAATACACCCGGATGTCATTTTCTAGCAGTCATGATATAAACCATAGATTGGTAGAAGTCAGAGTTATTAGTCCATTGGATTCCGTCTCAGTAACTGAATGGTGTACGAGATCGTCTAATTGATTCCCAGTATTGACGAGATGAGCTAGAAGTGAGCTGTGAACAGCTGGGTATCTGAAGTTCAGTTGTAGAATGCTCGCCAACCGCGCAGGTAGTCCAGGTCCAACCTCCAGCTGACATACTGGACTAATAAAAACAACATCAAAGTTACTGAGAATTCAAAAGCTGAAGAAGACTCATGCTCCACACAAATGACAGATGAATTAAAAAAATATTTTCCTAAGGCTTTTATTTGATGTTGGCGTATATCAAATTTATGATAACATTTCTTGTTTTGATATAGTGCATTACTTTAAATTTTCTGTTAAATTTCGTGACAAAATCTACCTTGAGAATTTCTTAATGAAGCTCTTGCTGCTTAATTTACTGAATAAAAATTCATCCAACCGACTAAAAACTGCGTCACACTAATTAGGTGATAACACGTCAAAACATGTGGCGAGTATTGTATGAGGAAAAATATTTAACTTTTCAGTTGGAATGAAAATTTCACACTTTGGGTTTTGCTATATTCACCATGCTAACCATTTCACAGTTATAAGGTATACAGACATAAAGATTCAATCAACTGTTATGTTCTTTCTTGTGAAAGCTTTGCTAAAAGTACCTGTAGAGATATCAGTTGAAGATCCTTCATGGTGTCCTTTATATAAGACGGATCAGTATATCACGAATACTGACATATTTAAAATAAAGTAGACTTAAATGCTGGAAATCCATTACAGACATTATTGATTTTCATAATTTCTAGAAACAGTGGTTTACTTGACAATATGGGATGCCATTTACTTAGATAGAAGCTGATTTTGTAAGCGCTTAATATTTCTTCGAAGCTAGAGAATGTATCAAACAACGTATTCAACTGTCCAAACTAGTCACAAATACCAGTCACCAGAGAGTATCAGACTTGCTACAGGATGGAGTTTTCAGCAGAAGTTGTGACCAGTGAGGTCCATCCAGTCTCGTTTGAGGATGGATTTCCCACCGATGATGATATTGTTTGGTGGTCGCGTTAAATCACGAAATGGTAGAAGTTAAAATTCATGGGTTGGTCATTGAGTTGGGTTCCAGTGGCTGAATGGTAATACTAGCCAACTTGCCTTGTAACTGGAAGGTCCTGGTTTCAAACCATGGCGGTAGGTGCGTGCCCCCGATGATTCCCAAACTAGACTAATGAAACAGCTGTCCAGTACTCCAGTGCTGGTTTTCAATGGTTCTCTAACTGATATCAATCCATTAAAAAGCAAATCTAATCCTTACAAACCAAATATAGAATATTATTATTGTGTTATTTACTATCGTTTCCGTGGATTTCGAGTGAAAGAAAGTGCTTCAAAAGCACATCTCTACTTTTTCCTATTTTCTGCAGTCCTCTTTAGGTGGCCCCGCGATTGTCCATAGTCTCTCATCTTCTCCTCGCACGATCTCCTTCATACCACCTCTCAGAAGCCCAACTTGTAGTCTTCCATTGGGCTTCTACTCGAGTGCTGGCCTGGCGCGTGACGTCATTCGACCGTCTCCTCAATGTTTACGCAGTCCGCTTCCCATTTTCTTTGGGATAGCTGTTGAGCAACAGGTTCTTGGTTGATTCGTTCCCAGAGTCTCTATTTGCTAATTCTTTCTGATTGGCCATTTGACCTTCAGTATGAATTGAAGGCAACTATTGATAAAATGACTAGTATCACCAGTCCTCACAAACACAGGTGTGGCTCATTGCATTAAATTACAAGGGGTTGTTGGGTAAAATTCCATTCCTTGAGACTATAAATGTTATCATTAGTTCTTCATACACATCATTCCCTTGATAAATTTCGACAAAGTAAGAAAGATGAAATTTAGTGCCACTTAACTATAAAGTAAACTTAGTAATATTTTGATAAACTTTTGTAGGCAACTAAAATGAGCAGCAAGTTGAATTTCGGTTGCAGGTTTAACGATGACCTGATATCGGCGAGAGAAACCACTGAGTACTGGATAGGTGTTTCATCCTAGTGTGTGACTTTTCATCAGTATCCACCCAGTGGGGTTGAAACTGTGGACCTTGCATTTACATGCCAAGGTCGTAGGCCATTCAGCCACTGAGACCCGATTCAATGGACCATGAATTCTAACTTCAACCAATTCACGATATAGCGCAACCGCTAGCCAATGTCTTCGGCGAGTATTTGTCCTCACACTCAACCTGCTGCGCCCTACTGGTCCTGACCTCCCACTGGAACCCCAGGTTATTAAAAAATAACGATAGTGTGATTAATCAAGGAAATTAGAGATCAACAGCACTCAGCATGCAAGATAAGATACGGATTTTCAACTCGAATGTGAAGTCAATGGTAATATACGGATTAGAGACTTGGGGCCGCGCCGAGTCACGAAGGGCACTTCGAACAAGCGCAAAGGCTACATTGGATTTCTGCCATGGAGAACTCCTTTTAAGCTAACCAAGTGTTCCGTGGATAAACGGGTAGATAATGACACTCATTCAGCTAGGAAAAATATCGTGGAACTTTCCTGCACTGATTGGACTCTGGCTAAAGTACTGTTAACCGAACAACCAGTATATCGCCTTGATTTACTGGTATTGGAAAGTATCCTAACGGCAGCTGGCTATTAACTTACGAGTCTGTCGCAAAAGGCTTTACGCGCGTATGGGGAGGAAAACTGGAAAATATTGAACTACCTCTAGTATTCCAAAGGTTGAAGTTCAGTTAAATATGGCTGTTTATAGTTTTTTAAGGCTTCAGACTGTCTAGGTACCTCAACCATGTTTTCTAATAGAGTCATGCTATACGTGGTGTAGATTTTCTAGAACACGGTTTCGTATTTGTAGCTCAACATTTTTAGAATGAAAACAACTAAAATCGCTAATAAATGTCAATAACAGTAACCACTCTGGGTCTAAAGGACTGCAGTCACAAGTAATAACGGAGGCGGTAGAAACCGTAACCATATCGTCGCCAGTGTCTTTCAGCACTTCGCTGAAAGGAAACGGCGACGTTGAGCCAGGTGAAGACGTTGGCAGAGAACCGAATGCAATGAAGACGTGTGACTAAAGCTCTACGTTTCTCTAGGAACTAAAGGAAACGATAATAATATAATAATAATAATAGTTATTTTTGTTTAATATGACAACCCAGATTGGAGTTAAATCCTAACCCTTTTTATTGAATGCACATCATATGCACTGTTGTACTGTACACCTCTCGTACATTTCACTGGAATAATTGTCATATC